GAAGATCGGCTAGCCATTTCTCTTTGAGATATAAAGACAGGAGCAGAGCAAACGTCTTTAATGCAAGGGGAATTCATAAAGAATGAATCTCTTGTAGGTAATGTGTTACTAATGTAAACACAAAACTTGCGCATTTCATTGTTACGTATAATTTTTGGAGTATGATTTTAGTAACGCGTTCCTGATTGGTCAAAAGTTTCTACTCGAACGCATTGGTGATGAGTATACATTATTACGTAGGTCAATGCGCGTAAATGTGTGAGAGGGCTTTTCCTATAGGTTGAAGTGAATGCACGCGATGACCTCACAATATGATTGTGTAGGTTTTGTCCCTTATAAACTGCCAAAAGCATGAAAGACAGTGGCGGCAGTGACGGATTATATGCGCTCCCAATACGTTAGGTAAATTGCATCAGAAATCAAATTTTGTGTGGGTTTACAATGAAATCTTTTGCTAAAAGTCAGTCGCTTCACTCTCTCACATTATTCTGTTACACTAGGATCTCGTTATTGCGAAACCCAATATAGTATACATTCGGTGATTCTACATTGATCATTTGTTTTGGTTTTTAATATATATCTCGTTGCTTTGCCCCAAATTCGCCGAAAATTTGATGGCAAAATTTCACTTAAATTGTATCATAATGTGAAAGGGGGCGTTATTTAAGATACACTTCTGGAAATATTTCCCCCAAAAATAATGTGTTTAAAGTCGAATATTGATAAAAGAATACAAAATTTAGGTTCTCGCAGTAAACATGAATTTTGTATTTTAAATGACATCCTATTTTATATTATGAGACAACTTAAATTAATTTTTTGCCATCAAATTTGTGGGGCTCCCAACATTTTAGAGGGGCTTTAACTACGGATTTGAGCGGGCTGCTCAGGCCGGGTTGACAATAGATCGGTTTACTAACATATTAAAATGTATGAATGTTTTTACTGGGGACCTAGTGACATGATATTAATACAATACTAGGAATCCATGTCGGGCAATCATTGGGCAAGCTTTCAGGCTGTCCAGTTTGTTAAAAAAGTATGAATAAAATTGTTATATAATATTAGTCGGCCGGTTTATTAGCTTAATAGCCTATACCGTGTGAGTCAAAAAAAGTTTAGACCTAGAAAATTGCTAATTATTTTTAAAATCATCTATGAAAAGTAAATTATTATACATCTTTTGAAAGAGTGTTTTATCCCAAATCATTTAGTACCATTTTTGTGTGGTATGTGTTCACGCTTGGATGAACAGGTGGCATTGTTTGCGACAGTGCAAAAATCGACTTGCGCCAAAGTGATGCCTACAGTATGTATTATGTTGGGATTAGCGGAGTGAGAGAATGGATTGAATTTATCAAATGAAATGCATTGCATATGTTTTTTGCAAAGGGCAAAGTCACACACACCCACATACACGCGCACAAATGTTCGTTGATATTTAATATTCAATATCTAATATATGAGAGGCATGATTAATTTTGTTAGGGATGTTATTTGGATCTGCAAAGACCGAATTAATACCCAAATCCCATTTGTTTTATTATTCAAACATCACATAGGCAACTTTGGCGCAAGTCGATGTTTGCACTCTAGCAAACATTGTCTCCTGTTCATCCAAGCGTGAACACATAACACAAAAATGGTACCAAATGATTTGGAATAAAACACTCTTTCATGAGACATATAACAATTTAATGTTCATCAATGATTTGTTTAATAATTAGCAATTTTCTAGGTGTAATCTTTTTTAGACTCACACTGTATAGCAATGAAAGAGAAAGAGAGAGAGAGAGAGAGGGAGAGAGAGAGAGAGAGAGAGGAGGGGGGTATAAAGGATGACTGTATGGTAAGAGTTAAAATTAGACTCATTCCATACTTGTATTTGTTACAGTTACTATTTGTGTCTCTAATCTCTTCTCTTTATACATATTCATTTCACATAATTTGCTTATTCACTTACATAATTCATTACTTTGTTTGTTTGTTCTGTTTTTATTGTTTCACATTCCACAAAAGAACAGTTTAAATATTATCAATAGTTAGCAAGATAAAGCATAATGACAATGATGGCAGTAAATAATCCGTAACGTGAAATATGAGGAACCTATTAAAAAGCAATGCTTGTATAACATAATATAAACCAATGATAGTATAAAAAAATGAATACAGGTATGTGGTTACATAATATTCATTATAGTTATAATACATACCAATTTGTCCATTTCACCTGGTATGTTCCTTTGTTTTCTTCTCATTCTTTATTCATGGCTTAGGTATTTCCACTTCTCATTGGTTCTCTTACCTTTTTCCTTTTGAATATTCAGTCTAACTCCTAAATCCTACTTTGCTATTGGTTTATGATGTATTTCATTTGGATACACTTTGCCTAAAAATGTTCAGTATGATGCTTCATGACAGCATATAATAGAACACATGCAGACCTGCACTGGACATGATCTGAGTGAGTTGTACTGATTTTAAAGGGAGTGGGTAGTCAGTTTCCATGTGCAGAAGGCTATAATTCGCTGAGACCAGACTTGGTGGAAATACCATTAATGGAGTACAAATCTGCACACAGCAAACCCGCTGGCCCGTCAAGAATTACCCCCTAGTCTCTCGGAGCATGCTCGGAGATTATTCGGGCGAAGGAAAAGCAAAGCATTACATAAGGTATAATGGTCATAAAACTCAAGGCTAACCCTGGTGATTGACAACACCTGTTATTTGGCCAAACACCCGAACGGTGTCGAATTCCCCATGAGAGCTGGGACGGTATTCTGAACCCTGTGTTATATCTAATATTGTTGTATCTTTGAAGATAAGATAAAGTTGGTATTCTGAACATTGTTGTAACTTTTGTGTTATCTTTTGTTGTATCTTTTCTCTCATCTTATTGGCCGCGCCTGCGCTCATAGTTTGGTGCGCTTGTAATTGTGCGTATTATTAATAAAGTGGCATTTAATCCTCATTTGCATATGCGCACGGGAGATAATATGTCGAGATAATTGGTATTCTGAAAGTTGTTGTATCTTTTATCTTATCTTATCTCGCATGGTATTTACAACAATATTTACAACAGGTAGGGGGTTGTTGTATCTTTCGTGGTGATATAATTGCGGCAATATTTTTTGCCCAGAACCAACTTCGTGCCAATAGACGAGTTAGAAGAAGATTGTGTGTTGACCGGAAACATCACAGATGAGAACTTTCTAAGATATTACATGATAGGATATGACGATTTTAATGCTCTCATCTTAACCAATATAGTGAAAGCGTGATTTGTCTTCATGATCCACATTCACAGCGCATAATGATGACGCGCGTAATAAGTGCTCAAATAACTAATTACGCCCAAGATTAGTATGCGCTAGGCGCATCTTCAGATATGGCATAAAGTATTCCTATTGGTTGACCTACTTATCATGCTTATATAAAATAGATTTTGATTGGTAGGGTCCACAAAAAATGGGCGTGTCATCAATGGTCAAAGATAAGATAGAGGCGGTCCTTCAAGAGATAACACAGGGATAAAATAATGTTCAGAATACCAACTTACAACAATATTAGCGCTGTGTTATCTCTGGAAGATACAACAAAAGATAACACAAAACTTACAACAATGTTCAGAATACCGCCCCTGACTTCTATGTGACTTTAATAGGGCTCTGCTCCTTTTATCTTGGAGACTTAGGAGAGAGGGATTTAAAGGGAGGCTTTATTACTTCAGCCAGAAGGGATTCGACCACACAGCGAGCCAGCGAGGTTACTGTGACAGGTGGCTATCTCCAGGCGCGTACGCCTTTGGAATTTTTTTTGTGTGTAAAACCCCCTAAAAAAAACCTAAACCCCCCCCCCCCCCCCCCCCTTTTTGATTTTTTTTTTTTTTTTTTTTTTTTAATAAATAAAAAAAAAAAAAAAAAAAATTATTCCCATGGCCGACCTAAAAAAGGTGACCTTACCCCCCCCCAACGGAGCAAAATGTCAAATTTCCAAATTTCGAGACAAAAAAAAAAAAAAAAAAAGTGCCCTCTTACCCCCCCCCCCCCCCCCCCCCCCCCCCCCCCTCCCCCCCCCCCCCCCCCCCCCCCCCGCTTATTCAGCGGTCGGCTGAGTCGTTGCGATTTTTTTGGGACCAAAAAAAAAATAAATGTGTCCTCTTACCCCCCCCCCCCCCCCCCCCCCCCCCCCCCCCCCCCCCCCCCCCCGCTTATTCAGCGGCTGGCTGAGTCGTTGCGAAATTTTCGGACCGATTTATAAATGTTAAAACCCCCCCCCCCCCCCCCCCCTTGAAAAAATCCTGCGTACGCGCCTGGCTATCTCATTAACTCAGCTGTCATTTAACATAAGAAAAAGAGGATCATGGGGGACCAACAGGCACCGATTGGGGAAGCTTTCTATATAGAGGGAGCAAGTAGTTACAAGTAGGACAGTGTGCCTTTAAGTGAATTTGGCAGTGGTTTTGGATGATTGGTGTTTTAGAGATAGATTGGTGAGAGGGTATTTTTTTATTAGTTTACAGTATGATTGGGGGAGGAAGAGAGAGAGAGAGAGAGAGAGAGAGAGAGAAAGTAAGTCGGGAAGTAAGTGTGTATATTTGTAGAGTGTACGGGGTATACTGCAGTTTTCCTTGGTAACCTTTTGATTTCGTCATCTGGCAGACGCCATTAGCCTATGCAGAAGTAGCAAAACTTATATCAACAACTTTGTACCGATATTTGTTCACATTTACCCTACCCCTCCTCCAATGCATATGAATCCACACCGCCTCTCTTAAAGTCAAATACCATATCCGTTTAGGATCTCTTGTAATAGACACCAGAAATAATTATTGGGAAGAAAATCGACACGTCGAGTCCAAAGTTCCAATTTTTATGGATCACTAAGTTCTCATTGAAAAATGAAATTCCCCTTGACATGCTCAATATTGACAAAAGAGTTCTCTTTACAATAAAATCAGTTTTACCCTCATGCGAATGAATGCATGGTTAGATTACGTTGATATGCATCATACTAGTTTGCTACGTGGAACTTGGAAGTGGCATATATACATAACCGGAAGCTGAATGTTGTGTTAATTTTTTATTGCATGGATTCACGATCTGATGATTAAACCAGATCTGTTCGGCGTTTCAGGAGACATATTCATTTCTTTCTAGTTTTTAAACACTGAACTTTTTTCGGTACGAACTTTGCTTAATTCGTATTTAATCTGTTCGCCAGGTCAAGATTTTTTTCTTTACCAGCCTTGTTAGTAAGATAGTGGCTTCCGTTCCGGAGTGGCTGATTCTGTGACAAGTTTTAAAATGACTGTTTGGATACTTTGCTGAAGCATGATTGGAAGTCACCCATATAACGTCTATAGATGCCAAACTACGTATTGGAACTTATGCTAACGATAGTGATACGTTCATCTTGTGTGCTTAACATAGCAAGGTACGAGAATACACGATAAAAAAGGAATGCTCTTTCGAGAGATCACTTTATGCAGGACGAGAAGATTTAACGCAGAATAGAAACATTAATTTTGGATTAAAACCTTAAAGGTCTAGACGTGGATCCAACCGACCTGTTTGTATACACAGAAGGTTGCTTGTTCCACTGTTGTTTAACTTCAACTCGATTTCCAACTCAACATGATCTTCAGCATGGTCCCGACCCGTATCATCGATCAGGACCTCGTCCTTCCCACCATCCTCGTCGTCATCGTCCACTTGGTCACCGCGTCGGCGCTCAGCCCGGGGTCGGCGGGCTCGTCGTCCGTGGAGTCGTTGGCGATGGAGGACTTCCAGCATCTGACGGACAAGCTCACGCACAAGCTCATGCAGGACATTGGAAAGCTGAAGGCAGAGGATCCGAACTGGCCGGGGAAGCCCCCTGCGCAGATGTCCGAGGACGATGTGATGGAGGAGCAGATGAAGGCGACGTCGGAATGCGAATTTCACTGCCCGAAGGGTAACGTTAGCAAAGATTTTATTTTCGTTCATTACCTTTTCAGTGTTCCTCTTTTGTATATAGTTTGAACAAAAAGGGGCGTAGCGTAAAAAATAAATTGGAACATTTTGTGTCATGGGGTGATGGGTGGGGGAACCTGTCGTGCTATATGAAAATATTGCGAACGAACACGGCCTCACACGAGGGGGGGGGGGGGTGTGGGTGGGAGCTGTTTAATTGCAATAATTTTGTTAATGTTTTTTGTATTTCCCTTTCCCCGATTCCACTCCCCCTCTTTCTCTCTCTCTCTCTCTCTCTCTTTCTCCGTTTCTCCGTCTGTCCGTCTCTCCCCTCTCTTTCTCTTGACCTATCTGTGTGTAAGTATTTCTCTCTATTTTTGCCATTCGATATATTATTATTATTATTTATTTTAAAATTTTTTTTTATTCATTTATCTATTTATTTATTTATTTATTTATTTATTTATTTTACTTATTTATTTATTTATTTATTTATTTATTTATTATTTTTTTTTTTGGGGGGGGGGGGGGCATGTGCCCCTGTGCCCGCTAATTATGCAAATGCAAACAATCCGCTGTTTGGTTGGACGTCCTTCATCAGTTTTTAATACTACCTGCCTAATGTCAGATGACATATTTTGTATCATTGTTTTTAGCGGGAAAAGACAAATCTTGTATGATAAAGAAGTTTTTTATTCTTTCGTTTTCAGGTCGGGTGCAGGAACAGAACCCAGATTTCAAAATGCCAGCTTTTAAAAACTGCAGGCTATATGACAGCTCGGTATGTACACAGTAGTAGCTATCATTTTCTGTTTGCATTGTAAGATTTTTTTCTCCAAATATTATCGAACTGATCAACACCACCTAGCTTGGTAGATTTAAGTTGTATAACGATCTCTAAATTATAGTAAATAATCGTGTACTAGATTAGTACAGGATTATACTGTATTCATTTAATTCCCTTACAATATTCAGATAAATATATTTTGTTTTATCTTTCCAAAATTTATTCATCTTGAATATGATATATAATATGATGGCTCTTTTCGAAAGGTTGTAGGTTGTAATTTTTTGGTAATTCTGTTATACTATTATAATGTGTACGATTCTTTAAGCATACAATTATGCTTTTTGTTGAACATTATTTGGGGCCTGTGGATACGAAAAAATACATAGATACATACATATGATAAAAATACATTAAAATGTCAGCGAATGCCAGGTGCATCGAGATGCTCTTCGAGACTTTAAATTAAAAGGAGATTTTATAAAGCGGCGGACTTTCTTTAAAGTAAACATTGCTTTCTTTCTTGCTATAGGTGCCCTGTCTGTTCAAGACATTGGAGATTAAGGCTTTCCATCAACTTCTATATCTGGTTCTTTGTAATGTGCCGTTGCTTTTGTCCCAGTTCCAGTTGAACCGTTTACCAGTGGCTTCAGGATGCTGCTCGAAACACCAGATTTGTTACCATACCTGTGCCAAAGCAACTTTGGAAAATGAGTTTATAAAGTGGCGGACTTTCTTTAAAAATTAAAACTTATCCATTTTATATTCCTCATTCAGTGGGACCGTATACCAGGGGCCTCAGGATGCTGCGCGAGACACCAGATTTGTTACCACACCTGTGCACGGGAACGGAAACAGTGTGACATGGAGTTTCATATGTGCATAGAGAACATCTGCGTGGAGCTGGAGGAGAAAGGGATCATCAAAACGGAGAAAGTCGTTAAATGTAAGACCTCTATCATAAACAGTTTACAACTAAATTATTCATACCCATTGTAAACTTTTGTGTTTTTCATAAGTCATGAATGGAAGGTAAACTGGTTGATAAGGGTTTTTGTTGAATACTTTTAGATGTAAGCTTTAATATGCCACATTACAAAATTTGGATAGGATATGAATGATCTAGTTGTTAAATGTATATACAGTTAACACTAAATTATTCATACCCCTTGTAAATTAAAAATTTGTTGTGTTTTTCATAACTCACGAATGAAAGGTTAGCTGGTTGAATGAGGGCCTTTGTTGAATACTTCTGGAAGTAAGATTTAATATACCACAATACCACAAAACGTAACTCCAGACAACTACTCCCAAGGACAACGCGATACTCCATTAATCGATTACCCCAGTTGCCCCCGGAACAACTACATAAAGACCAATGTATTGATACGTGCACTTGTTCGGTATTTTCTATTTATTCTAGTTGTCTGGGAATAGAAGATCCAGGTTGGTCTTCCAGTGGATAGTCCTGGAACCTGATCCTGTAAAATAGAATATCTAATGTTTTATCTTTTCCCTCTTTCTCTGATTCTCTGTCTCTGACTATCTCTTTCTCTCTCTCTCCCACATCACCCCTCTCTGTGACCCCTCACCCCTCACCCCGCAGCATGCCACTCTGCAATGGGGATGCTTGGAATCATGATCATGGAACCCGGATGTAAGATGTTCCCGAAGGCGCAAGACGCCGCCTGCCGATGCGTTAAAAAGAAACCCGACTTGAAAATTGGAGTTGATAGTAAACCAGATGATCTGAACATCTCCGACAATACAATAAGCCTACGAACATGAAGGAAAAGAAAGATGTTTTCGTCAACAATGATGAAGGCAATGAAGCTGTTGGTGATGTCGAAAAGACCTTAGCTCATGACGACGACGACGACGACGAAGGATATGATGATCACGATGAACTTTGATAAGAATTTGTTTATCCAATTTGGTCTCTTTCCTCAACATGAATTATACGATATTTCACCCAGAATATTATATGACATGACATGAGTCTTTAATGTTTTGTCGTTAAAATTCAAGCTATCATAATCATGTTCTTGAGTATTCAGAATTGTGCATAGTACGTGAAATCATGATTGTACACAAGTTGTATTAATGGATCATAGCTATTTGTTCTTTGTACTCACACCCGCTTGATGTTAAAAAACACAGTCTCTTATATAAATTAATAAACTATTACAAAAAAGAAAAAGAGTTTAGATTTTTAAATGCGAAATAATTATGTTACGGAGCAATCAGGGGTGGGAGTAATGTCATCGAATTCATGATGAAATTTTAATTTTGTGTAAACAAATATCTATATATATATATATAAATATATATATATATATATATATATATATATATATATATATATATACTCAAAAAGAAAAAGACCAAAAGAATATTGAATCAATTTGTTAAATCAGGTATAGAAATATTAGGCTAAATAGATAAATATTGAGGGACTTACATTAAACTGTTTTAAGTCGTAAGTATTTTATAATCAAATCCCATCGATAGCAATATCAGTTAAAATTTAGTCTTTAAATTCGTACAATATAGTGATATGTGTCTATTTTCTTTTCACCCTAGAGCTTAGATTTTCATTTTCAATCACTTAATCCTTTAGCTACATCTTCCGTGGTATGTTTTTGAAATTACTCAGAATTTAAAAAAACCTTATAGAACTATTTCGAAATTGATATTATGATGTAAGAAATTGGGAAAGAATTGTTTTTTAAATGAGCATAAAATACTTTACAAAGAAATTTATCAACGACTACTTATTAATCGAGATGACTCTGATTGTATTTGTAGTAAACGAATGTTTATACCTTGGAAGTAACTTGAATATTGGACATAGCAATGACCAGTCCAGTCTATGTTGTTGTGGTGCTAGCCATTTTTTATTCTCAACTGCTTTCTCATTCCATCGTAGCTGGCGCTAGGCCACTACAAACAACTATTCAAATACAAATACATTTAAAAAAAAAAAAAAAAATACCACAGTATTCACTTTCTGTTTCTCCTTCCCTTATCATCTCCTTCATTCGAGAAATAGAATTATTTTCGTTTTTGAAGCACAGAACCATCATGGCTATATTGAATCCATCGATCTACTTTTTTTTCTCCCCAGACTCAGTGGGTGAATTTTTATTGTACATTGCGCCCTCATGTGGTTTGTATCTGACAGGATTATGGCGTCTCGGTGTCGATTTTTAGTAGTTGAACTTTCAAAAGTATGCCAAATATCGAAAGAAATGAATCGAATGAGTCGATGAATGATAATGATAATCAGCATCAGGACAGGGAAACGATAATCGTCACGCATAAAGACAATAGGATGACTAAATAGGTAAAGAAACTGAGGGGTGAACAAATTATTCAAAAAAGGGCAAACGGACATTTCACTTGCAAACCCTTAAAATGGCAAAGTTTGGGACCACCCGCGCCCCTCGAAAAGACTGGAAAATATCCGGGGAAAATATGTTTTGTAAAATGAAATGAATACCAAAATGCAAAGTGGAAAAGGGTGTAAAGTTGAAGAAAAGTTCATTTGGATTGACGTATACTGAATTCACCCCAATTGAGAAACAGAACATGGGTCTTGCGTGCTAAAACCCCAACAGCTGTGAATTGAAGGGTGAGGTGGAAGTTGATACCGTACTCTAAAATATGTTCCATCACCCTTTCCAATTTCACCTATTTCAAAGCAGATGTAAATTTTGTTGGGTAAAAAATTGTTGGTGTGAAGTGTAGTAAATATAAGATGCGCAAGAACATTTCAAGATCGTGCAATAGAAAGTCCAAAGTTCAATTTCAGGTCACTGAGAAACACAGCCATTTTGTAAATTAAATTATCACACACAAGATCGCTTGAAAGCCCACGTGTTTGGAACAATCAAATTACTTTTCTCCGATTTTTTTTGGTAACTTGCTGCATTGCATAATTTATATCACGAATCATAATTTGCACGATTTCTTTTTTTTCTAGCATAAAATAGGCCTACTTATAGGCCCGAATTCACAAAGGAGGTTTGTCGACAAACCTCCTTTTGTTTCGCCAAACCTCCTTTTGTTCTTTACAAACCAGGTTCGTAAAAAAACGCGTAAAAACGCGTCATATGACGTACGAAAACCTCCTTTGTGAATTCGGGCCTTCATGGATGAGATTCCAACATAATTATCTATCCATTTACCCGGGGGGGGGGGGATATTCAAATTAAGACATACGGGGTGTGCCGCTCTAACGGGTCACTTTTTCACAAAAAATCTCTAAACATGGGTCACATTTTTAACCAAAATATCCTTAAACATGGGTCCGTTTTTCAATGTTACACAAATTTTCGAAAAATTGCGAAAATGAGCTTTACTTCGAAATGCCCCTAAATGACCCTTAAATAATGGCTAGGGGTTTCGCGGCTTCAGCGACTTTCCCTTGTCCAAAGCAAAGGGTCCATTTATCCGTCTATTCTTCTACCTACGGTATCAGTCTATCTGGCTATCTATCAATATATTTTGATTTACTACAGTACTACGGGGAGGAGGGCAAAGGGGCAGTTAAACAAGCGGGTAGTGGAGGGGGTGGAGGAAAGAGGTGCATAGAGGGAAAAGGGTTGAACATTGAATTTTGAAGAAAGGAGGATATGATTTGAAACAGAACCCCTCTATGTTAGAAAATAAGTTACAGTATGAAGCGATACTGTAGTGCATGGATGAAAAGTGCACTTATGAAAGTTTATGTACTAAATTTTCCCACGTCCTATCACATCAAACCATTGAGTATACGGCAGTAGGTTTGTATGGATAATATCAATAATTTCCCCTATTTTAACCTTTATCTGACAGTGATAGAGAGAGAGAGAGAGAGAGAGAGAGAGAGAGAGAGAGAGGTGGGGGGGGGGGGGGCTCCAAGAACAACCTCTCTTTCTCCTTTCATTCACATGAAGTCGTCCGAGAGAGAGATCAAAGACAAGTTAGAGAAAGGAAGGAAGAAGAATGAAAAAAGTACACGACATCCCAAGTTCACCCGTTACATTTTTTTGGTCAAGCCACGGAACTTTGAGTTACGGAGTAACCGTGGGCCGAGGAGTGATGAAGTAATACCCTTTCCCCACAGAGGCGTAGCGTGTGTCTTCCTATTGAGGGGGCACAGGAACGATGGGGGGGGGGGAGGCATCGGTGTTATTCTGAAAATAGAATGCGAATTTACAAGGCTGGCGGAGGGTGAGGGGACGTGGGTCAGGCCTCTTCTTTTCTCGTCCGTTTTACTTTCTCCCTTCCCCTTTCTCCTTTTCCCTCACTTTTTTCACCACTCGAGTGAGGGGGGGGGGGGGGGGGAGTGCCCCCTTTTGACTCCGTCACTGCTCCCCCATGTGATTCTTCGTTTGGATGGGAGACCCAGAGAATTAACCCCGGCGATCTCAGGCGAAGGACTGTCATCTTGAGAAACCGCTGGTTATCACAATGGTTGTTTGTAAGTTTGAATTCAAATGACAGGAATCTTCATGCCCTCGTAACTAAAATATACTGACAGGGATTCTATAGAATGTAGATAGACAGGTAGGCCAGTAGATTGGGATAAAGAGAGACTGATAGACCGATATATATATATATATATATATATATATATATATATATATATATATATATATATAGACAAAATTTTACTTGCACAAGCAATATACAAAATGAATGGGTACATAGATTAATAAATTTATTAAATGTGATAACTAAATAGATGACTTGGGTCCCATAGGTCATTATGAGTAAATCATGATTCTTGACACAGTTTTTCGACAAAATAAGAAGAAAAAAACCAAAACCAAAACCAAATAAAAGACCCCCCAAAACACACACACACACATACAAGGCAAAAAAACAAAAAAGCAAATGGCAACTAACAGAGATGGACTAGGTTTTTTATTTTCAAATGTGCCGAAAAAGGTTATACCTGTTGCGTCCGATCTTACCAACAGATGTTCAATAAAGATGGATGAAACGGTCAAAGCAAGATTTTTTGTGTAGACGAGGCACTTAAATAAAACATTTGTTGAAAAATAATTAGGGGGGGGGGGAGGCACATCTCACCCCCTCTCTAGTTGTCGACTCCACTATAACATTATGATGGAACTGCCATAGCTCCCAGTTTGGTCTTTCAGGTCCAGACACTCGGCGTTTCTTGTTTTGTAATTCATGTAATTATATTAAAGCAAATATAACAATTACAAAAAAATAAAAAATTGAGAGGCTCTTGACGATATTTGACTTTCATAATTTACCCACAAGATGAATTGCAACTCCCAAAGCAACATTATCATTTATCCACTTACGATGAACTCCCTGCGCAGTCTTCGAAATGTTCTAATCATGTTCATTGATGCAATCATTTACGCCGATCAATATTCAAGGGGGCGTCAAGGGGGCGTCAGGGGGGAGGGGGGCATACGTATATAAATCGGTAGCATTATATAAACATACATGTACGTCCAAAATAAATTTGGCCCCCCCCCCCAAAAAAAACCTCCCGGAAGGATACCCCTCATGATAATCAGTATCACGTGACCTGCTGAGCAGACCACATCGTTAGCGCTTGCCTGTACGCGGAAAAAGTACAAAATGAATTTCGCCTGCTTCGAAAAAGAAACACGCAGCGCGCTGAAAGAAATATGACAATATTGCGCTCGGGGGCAAATGACCCGATTTCCGAGCCGGGGAGAAGGTCAAGGCCAAAACAAGTCACGTGCGACCCCTCGAAGATGTACTTTTAGAAGCAGAATGCACGGTTTTGTTCCCCAGTGTCCAACCCAAATGGTCAAGTCGGTGACGGTCAAGCGGTCCGGAATCAAACGCGCAAGGAATGCCGACGAAAATAGAAAGTCGAAATGGAATAGTCCTGGTGGGGGACCGAAATCTGTTTCCTGGTGTTGCGGGGGACGCGTGTGGTGGACAGGGGGACTTTCAGGTGGACTCCAGGGGGAAAAGGGAGAGAGTTTGGTCAAAGAGACTGATGAAGTATGAGGGAAGGGGCCAAGGTTAAAGGGAAACGGTGCATTGAAGAAAGAAAATTACTCAGAAAACACCAATGACAGCAGATATTGAAAACAGTATACATGAGACGAGGAAAGAAATTGTTGTCGATCGTTTAAGTAAAAACAAGAAAAAGTCAAAATTGGGAGGGGGGGGGGTGACAACCCTTAAAATGAACAAAAAGCGCTAAGATGTTAGGTGATGATTTACGAAAATGTTCTGAAAAACATTATTGTGCTGTTTTCTTCAATGACATAACGCAAAAATCAAAAGA